ACTTGAGACTTGCAAAACAATGACTTGGTCCCACCTCTGGTGGATGGTGACACAGGTCGATGTAGCTGCTAGCTGTTTGCTAGCTTCACCTGAACTAGACCCCTGGGCCGTGTTTGCGCTGTTGGACATCATGTGACCAATAATATGGCTGCTGTGAGGTTACTCTACTAGCAGACCGTCCAAGAAGGCTCCACTTCAGTAGTGAGTGAAATTTGAGTTTGATTGGATGTTACATGTTATGTTAGCAGGAAGGTGTGTCTGTGTGATGCTCCCACACAGTCTAGGATGCTAGACATACAAAGTCCATCCATACAAAGTAGTCACATCCAGTGAACGACATCATGATAGTTGTGTCCATCTTTTATATACAGTGCAGGAAAGCACCTGCTCTGCTGGGATTTGGAAAACAAATATGAATCCAGTGGATTATTTTGTCTGTATGACATCACCATATTAATAACAACATTTTCTCTCATTTCTGAGGAGTGTTGTGGATTCTCCACATAACTGAGGTGTCCACAGACTTCTGAAGGTGGAGTTTCCTCTCTCAGAACTTTTGGCAGTGGTAAACGAACATATGCTGCTTGATTTGGAGTGCTTTTGTGAAGTTGACATTCAATGTGACAAAAGAGCCAATGTGACCAAAGAGATTCAAAGAGACACAAAACAGTCAAATATCCACAAAAATTACAACAAACGGGTTTAAAACAGACACCAAAGAAGCAAACCAGATGAAAACAGCAAAGAAGAAGGAGGTAAGAAGGAACACTCTGACATGTTGTTGTTCCACTGATGTCATGGCAACACACGTGGCACTGACTCACGTCATATTGAGCACATGTCTGCGTGGGCTGCTGTCATCTCACACACACACACACACACACACACACACACACACACACACACACAGTGATGTAAATCGGGGATGTAGATGACATCACTCAGAATAACAAGCTGGGGAACTTTGGTATTGATCATGTTTTGAAGGATCACACAGAAAGGAAGTGATGCGTGAGGGCAGGTGGCAGATGTGCAGCATCTGCAGACCCTGAGCGACACCTGCAGCGAGCAGCCGTGAATGTTGTCGGTCTTTAACCCCAGCCCTGCTGAAAGCTCAGTGAGCAGTCAGTCACGTGATAACCACAGCCTCATCCAGGTCACAAACAGGACGTTGTTGACGGTCATGTGGCAGGAAGTTTTCGGCTCTTCCTGATGAAGACGGTGGACCTACAGAAACGCGTCAGGAGCACATCGCTGTGCTCACAGTATTCAAACTCAAACACTTCCACCCACGCCGAGCATTTTCTCCCCTCCTCAGAGCTGACCGTCCAAACAGAAACCAGCTCTGTCTCCATGAAAACACCCACAGCTTCCTCTGCTGCATCGCCACAGGAGCGCATGGATCCAGATCATGACGTCAGTCCACAGCCTTTACACTGTGAGACTCTCTGCACTAATGGCTCCACCCACTCCAACCTTCTGACCCGGAGCTCCATGGTTAATTCAAAAACGACTCAAACAGGAAGAGGAAGCACTGTGTTTGTTTGTAACCTGTGGTTTACACATGTGCATTGAAGTCTGATTGGACACAATGCTCTCGTCTCTTAACCACAAACCACCAATCAAGCTCCTCCACCACCAGCCTAATTTCCCCATCTAAACATTGTCCGATATGTTTGGACGAGAATGAGGAGATGCAGCAACGCTGAGAAACGCCTCCTCCACCACCACCACCACCATCATCATCATCATATTCTGGCTCCAGCGGGCTCACACTGCTTTCTGAGGACCTCCTGTTTACAGGAACAGACCACAGACAGAAACCAGATCCTGAAACAGGCATCAACAGGACGCTGCTGGGTCGGGTCAGGAGACCTTTTTTAATATCTTAGATTATCTTGCTCAGCTTTAAGCAGTGACTTTTTCTACATTACTCACTAAAAATGACATTCACTCAATGATCTTAAACATTTCCCCTGAGTTGAGTTTGTGAAGAAGTCTGAGATGAGAAGACGAGGTCTGACAGCAGTACAGGAGGCCATCCACACCCATTGTGAGCAACCGTCGCTGAGCAGAACTGGTGGCCTATGAAACCAGGCGTCAGCAGTCCTGAAACCCCATCCCATGCAGTTCAATCCTGACTTATGATCAGAGACCTGCGAATACAGACGAGTAACAACGACAGGTGAAACAAACAATCGTGGCACGAGCATCTACCAGCAGTGCTTAAGTCTACCGCTGACTGACAGGCGAGGTGGTGGTAGATCCATTACCTACTTAAACCCGAGCCTGGAGTGGTGACCAGCCTTTAGCTTCAAAGTCCACAGTTTGAATGGACTGAGTGATTGACTCATCAGCTGTTTTAAAACAGATCACACCGAACTAAAAGGTGAAGAAAGCAATTGAAACAACTCAAATTCTCAAGTGAATAAACCTCATCCAAGGAGGTCATCAATCACGCCAACCCTGCGTCTCTGAGGCCGGGATGGGAACAACTGGGAACAGATCAGAGGGAAGACGTGATGGTGTCTGCAGATTGTGCTGCTGTTTGAAAGACTTCCTGTTGAAGAACTTCAAGGATTTCAGTGTGGTTACTGTGGTTTTCTGTAGCAACAGTACACACCTGCATTTTTACAAACTCACAGCTGCACTCTTATTACTCAGGAACAATCGTCTTGATACATGCTTAATCATCCAGGTGA